TTTTAATGAAAGTATTAAGACTTTATTAGCAAAGAAGTATAAAAACTTCTTGCAAATATCTTTTTTGTGTGTGGTCAAAGGATCAGCGGAAAGAGTTTACCATGGCTCAAAAAAAAATATTTTAATTAAACAATTTTTTTAAAAATAAAATAGCTTTATTTTTGAACTTTTTTAATAGAATTTTAAATTATTTTTTTTTAACTTTATAATTTATTAATTTTTAGATTAATTACAATAATAAACTATTGTTAATAATCTTAATAGATAAAGATCAATTCAATTTTATTAGAAAAATATTATATTATTTTCAAAATTTAATTTGAAGTATTTATATATTATATAATAACATCTTATAAAAGTTTATTAATATTATAGAATTTTTTTCAATTTCTCAATAAAAATATATTATTATAGTATAATTATAAATTAGTTAAAATAAAAAAAAATTTTAAAATAATTAAATTTATTTAAATAAAAATTATTTTATAAATTATTTATAATTTAAATAAAATAAATTAAATAATTTAAATTAATTTAATCTAAGCAAATTTTAATTTAATTTTAATTTATTTATATTAAGTTTAAATTAAATTATTTTAATTTAAATTAGTTTTAAATGAATTTTAATTAAATTCAATTTATGTTTTCAAAAATTAAACCATTTTTAAAAAAATTTTTTTTATTAAAATTTCAAATTTTGTTTTTATTATCTTTAGCTAAAAATATTACTTAAATCAAATAAAGAATTAAAAAAAAAAACAAATAGAATAGATATTTTAATAAAAATTCAATAACTCTAATAATTATAAAGTAAAAATTTTTTAAATAAATATTATTTTGAAAAAATAATTAATATAATTTATAAAAGGTTTTTTATTGTAAATTTTTGGTTATTTCAATTTCTGCTATATTCATATTATATAGATATTATATTATTTTAATCATTAATAACAATTATATTATTAACATGCCTATCATAATATATGTTTATTATCATAAACAATATTTATAATTTTTGCATTTTTGATAAAATTTTTGACTATAATATTATTTTTTATTAAAAAAAAAATTCATACCTCAATACAAAATTGTCATAGTTATTGTTTGTATAATTTTAAGTAAAACTAGTATCAATCTTGCATTTGATACACTTATATTATAATGCAATACGATGTAATTAATTTCATGACTTATGTTGCATAATAAAATAAAGCATAATTGAAATTTCCGTAAAATACATATGCATACGAATAGTGTAGATGCTTGAAAATAATTGTTTTCATAGTAATAAACAAAAATGATAGATATGACTAAATGATGGATAAAATAATGACTAAAATAATGATAAAATGATAAAAAAAATGATGAAAACGTTTAAAAATTATGAATTCCATAATCTACCAAATCAAAAAGACAGTCTGCAACATCGGAGTTTGTTAAATCTCCATTGAAAACTGGAGTTGAGTCTAATGAGTATAACAAATCCGATAATGGAATTTGAGTGTTATCACTTTGATTGTCGGTATTTAATTGGGGGAAGGCATTCGAAGAATTATTCAATAATGAAGAATCAGTTATATTTTCCTCTTGAAGGTCTCGGTTGTTTTCGCTAACATTCTCTGACTCGAAGATCCCAAGACCAAGTTGGTTTTCGAAAAAACCAATAAATGATGAGTTCTCGGTATAAACATCCGTATTAGAAGAGTAAAAGTATTCTTCGGCTTGAATTGGTGAATTAGTTTGATATTTTTCAAGAGATATGGTTGACGAATTAATATTTGGATTGAATTCAAACTCTTCGCCTATGTCGGGAGAGCTAAACCCATCAGATTGGATTGGGGAGTTAATATAGGGATTTTCAACTGAAATTAGTGGAGAATTAATGTCTGGAGAGCTAAATTCACTGGAAACTGTCAGATCCGGGCTGGGGTAAATGTAATTTGTAAACTCGGAAAATAATCCGGGATTTAGAACTGGCGAAGGACAATTGAAGTCAGGAAATGAAACCGGCACGTCCACTTTCTGCTGCATTTTCAATGGCTCATTTAATGATTTACAAAGTTCATTCTTTCGATCCGACTTATGATCGAAACTAATCAAATTCCAGGTTTTTCTTTTTCCCCCGCGTTTAGCTCTAGGAAAAAGTTCATTTCGATATTCGAATGCTTCTTTTGCAATTCTTCTGTATTCTATTCTTACAATTTCCGGTTCTTGTTCCCAAGACTTTGATGCCATCGAGGAAATTACTGTCATTGGAAGTGTATATCCTTCGTTCTTTGCGGTCTTAATAAACAATTTTCGATAGATGATAAATGCATTGGGAGCTCGAGATGGAGTACAATTTCCATTCGAAAACGTGATAAGATCATGTGGATTAATAGTGGGTGGAAAAGGAAGTCTGATAAATGGTTTTGCATCGTTGATCACTTGACTTGGCATCATAGGATCATTGGAATTTATAAACACAAAGTTTGTATTGTGAATTTGTTCATTCATTGTTTTTATATATTTGGTTCGTAAATAAAATATGAAGTATATATTTTTTTTTATATTTCGATTGCAATCCTTTTGAAGGCAACGAAACTAGAGTTGAAGAAAGTTGATGTCTTTATTTATATGGATTTTTTTTCCCTCGAAAAAATGGGCTCTATAGCAGATGCTTATAATTACTAAATTTGTACATTTATACCGGAAATTTTTTTAGGATAGAAATTATCGACAGACTCTACGCACTGTTGCATTCATAGACAATGATTATATGCTAAAATTGACGGTTTTACGTGCTGCTGCATTTTTGTGGAATTACAGTATATATGCTAGTTTGTTTTTAATAAAAAGTGACCCTGTTAGTTAATATACAAATTTGGTAATTGATTTGGTATCAACCGTTTCTACTTTAAAGGTGTTTATGTTGACAAGCAAATCATTTCCTATTTCTCGTTTTATGAAAATATAGGTTTGCAAGACATACGTAGCTTGTAAAAATTTATTTCCATGTAATATGACATTGTATTTGGAAATTATATCAACGTTCTCGTGTCTTAAGTATATGGTATTGTCGTAAAAGTTGAGTTTTATTTTTATTTATTTATCTTTTTTTTTTTTCGAAACATTGTGTGGCTTAATATGGTATCTGAAATATGTAATCATCGAGTTGCATATTCCTTGTTAAAAAAGTATCACATTTGGAATTCGAATTGTAAATTTTGGATTGTTTCATGTAACATATTCTTTAAATAAGATTATTATAATTAAAAATTTAAAATATATATATTACTTTTTAAATAATAAATCAAGTAGCTTTAATTATCTTAAGACTTAAAAGAATATCAAAGCTTCTTAAAGACAAGACAATTTAAATATATATATATATATTAAAACAATATACCTATTTAAATCTTGTTATACAAACATAAAATTGTAAAAATAAACAAGTAAAATAATTACATACATATACAACTTATTATTTAAACAAGTTGATTAACCTTTTACATAAATATTATAATGGTGCCTTTCAAATTAGAATAATATTATTTATATAAATAACAAATATATTAAAACTATATAAAAAAATTTTTTTACATTATTTAAACAAATATACATAAACAACAACAACACTAGATAGGTTTGACTATATTATAAATATAGATTACTAATAAACAAATAAATAAAGAAAACATATAAAAACATTAAAAAATTTATTATATAATAATATAGAATATAATATACTTAACAATTATAATATTACTATAACAAATATAAGTAGATCCAAAGTAATATTATATATAGTACAAAATTAAAAAGAAAAGATACTAGATATCTTAATTAACTTAGCAAAACAATATAATAAAAAAAGTAAAATATGAGTAATATAATAAATACTTAAAAAAAAAAGTTAATCAATTATAATCAAATATCTTCATTTGAAATATTTATAGTTTTAAATAGTATAATAGCTAGAATATTAAAAGTAAATAAGTTAATATTTTATAAAAAATATATTATGATTCAATATATTATATATCTATAATAATAAGATAAAAAAAAAGAAAAATATCTATAATAATAGAGGTTCAAACAAGGGTATTACCTAAAACTCTTTCCGCTGATCCTAAATTTCCTAAAAAATTTCCTTTTTTGGCAATTTTCTTGGAAAAACCAGAAGCCA